AGTCACGGGGTTGTCTCTGGAGAAGGCTTCACAAAAACAAAGTAAAGGAGACAGCATTAAAAGGACACTTTTCACTGACAAGGAAATGGTAGGGCTTCCAATACACGCCAGGAAATAGGCAATGTTGTCCTGAACATAAGACAATGTAGCCCTAAGATTCGCTGTACACTCATGGCATGGATAAAGTAGAAATTATCCTGAGAATGAAGTGGGCAGACAGCTATTAATTACCACTGTTGTAGTAAACGCTGTGAGCCTAACTGTTCTTCTCTCACTGACACTGCCCATTGTCTTGGAACCTTCAAAGCAATAACCAGGGGAAGTTCAGAATGAGCCGGAAAGCTACCTTTCAAAACATCTCCATCCCCAAACACTCCCCACTGCCCTGAGATGATTGACACCAACTCCCCCACATTTCACTTAGCTAAGGCAAGAAAAAGAGGCTGACGGGGGGTGAGGAAAGAGTATCTGATTCAGCCACTAGCTATCTGGGATGCAACAGCCCAGCTTGAGTGATCACCAGTGATTAATGCATGAGACAAAGGTTGATGGAAAATTGTACAAACAAATGCAATCAAAACAGTCACCAGGTCTGGCTCTTATCATTGAACCACACCCTCCCTTGGGGACTCTAGGCAGGTGCCTGAACTCATCCAGGGGACTCAACCCCTCCACTATCAGAACAACCAGTTATGGGGCTCTTGGTGTGGTACAGCATTAGCTATCAGGCGTTCTTGCCAAAACAAGCAAACAAGCGAATGAACAAAAACTGTTCAACTTTAGTTTAGTCAATCCTGAGGTCCAGTTTGTAGTTCATAGAAAACACACTGGCAAGGTACAAAGTTTAGTTCCTCCAGGAGGCAAACTGTCAAAACCAGATATTAGAACCTTTAACAAGATACTAGGCTTTGGATTTACAACACTGCATTAGGAATTTTTTTATGAAAGAGAAGATGAAAAAGAAAGAGGAGAAGGAGGAAGAGGAGGAGAAAGAAGAGGAAGAATAAGAAGGAGGAGGAGGAGAAGGAGGAGGAGGAGGAGGAGGAGGAGGAGGAGGAGAAGAAGAAGAAGAAGAAGAAGAAGAAGAAGAAGAAGAAGAAGAAG